GAGAATTTTAATTATTATTATTATTATTATTTATATTTATTTATTGTTATTATTATTGAATGCTATAAATTATTAATTGTCTAATATGATTTATTTGTCAAATAGCTTAATTGTTTAAATATTAATTAATTGCCTAATTGTCTAAGTGTTATTAATTAATTAAAATGTGTATCTGCATTTTTACTAATATTATTATTATTTTAAAAATTAAATTGTGTGTATTATAAATATATATTATATCCGGTTTATTTAATTATTGTGCGATTTAATTTTCGAGCCGATCCGATTTAATTTATCGAGCCCGAGTAAAAACCGTATTGAAGTTACATCTAGTCGGGCCCGAGAGCCGATTCGTTTCATTGAACCGGCCGAACTTGCCCCGACCAGCGAACCCAGTACGCCCGACCCGTCTAATGTGTGTTAGTGTGTGTCTTGGGCATCAAGACTTTGTACCCTAGCCCTTATATTTTTTCTCCTTCGTTTTTCCTCAGAGAACAATATCGCCCGAGCCTCTTTCTCTTTTCTTTCGATCGCAAGTTTTGAACAGAGAAGAGATTTTCCTCAAATCCTTGGCTCAAATCTGACAACCGACATCATCATCCTGTCATCTTTTCCCGATCGCGATCCTCTCATCACTATCGTCGGCATCTCCTTGTCGTTCTCCCATCATCATCATCATCCCGTCGCCACCATCACCAACACCCAACAACTCGCGCGACCAACCTCCGGCGACCCCTGTTTTGGTGCGACGACCTCCTCACCGCCGCACCGCAAACAGAGGCTCCGCCGCGCCGTGACGCCATCACAGCAGCCCCGCCGCGCCGTGAGCAGCCTTCCTGAGCGCTATTCGTGATTTTTCGGCGACCCTCCGTCCATTCTGCATCTTGATGGGCGCCCTACGTCGTGAACTCTCCATCGATCGCGACCAAACGCCGCGACCAGCCCTTCTGGCAAGCTTAGACGACCCCCCTACCAGCACTTCCGGCGAGATCATCCTCCGCCGCTGTCCGCGAGCTCTATCGCCGCCAGCCCCGTGGCCGCATTCTTCCTGTTCGCGTGACTTAGTTATTGTCCTGAGGTCCGAGCCCGCAAGCAATCGACCTCAACACCCGTGAGTCACGCCCGCTGCCGAGCGCCGTTCCGACAGCCTCGTTCGACCATTCGTTTCCGTTTTCGATCGAATCCCGAGAACAGTACAAGGCTCGACCCCTCTCGTTTAATTCTATGTATTACTTTATGTGTTAGATTATATGAAGTGGGTGTTGAAGGTGCTTCGTGAATTTAAATACGTGCCGTGGATAGGTATGTGTGAGAGTTATGTTATTTAATTGCAAATTTGATGTCAAAGTGATTGCCGTCACTTTGAATTATTGTTGAACTGAATTTAACGTGGTATATTTCGTGGAAATCCTGGAGTTATAGGTACTTGGTGTTGTGCTTGATTTATTGGTGTTGGTTTGAGGTCGTTTCGAGTTGTATGTAGGGAGTTATGATTTTTCTAAACCGTGCATGCTGCTGAACCGTAATAAATTCACCATAAATAGAGTTGTTGTCCGTTTTGGTTAAATTTTTGATATGTTGTGCGTCTGAGTATGTGGAATGTTTGTGTCAAGCTCCTGATCTTATCTTTGAGTGTTTGGTGTTCAAATGCTTAAATCGGTTTCTTGGCAGAAACCTGTAAAATTCATTAAAAATCGTACACTTGGAGTATTGAGCTGAAACTTGGAGGAACCTGTTATTTTGTGTAAAAATTTTAGATTAAAATTCGAAGTGTAGCTATGCGCACTATTAAATGCCGATTTTGGCGCTGTTTTTGCTTAAATTATTAACAATGCTCCCGGATGAATTTAGGGCTGAAAGTTGGTGAGTTTATGTGTTTTTGTATGATTTATGATGTGGTAAAGTTTCAGGTTGATTGACTGAGCCTAACTCCTAATTCTGAATTTGGTTTATTTTGGAGTCTTAATGCTCGGTTATTCGTTGTTTAGGTTCGGATTGGTTTTTATTAATGTTGGCATGATTTATGTGTATTATCTCAGGTATTTGAGTTATTTCCAGGTCTGGTAGTCACTCCATAGTACTTAACTCGGTCAAGGAATCCACGAGTCACTTAGTCGATGTGAATTCGGCCAAGTATATGTGCCTTGTGTGGTGTTTTGTGTTGGATAGTCAGTGATAGGCTATTTTAAATTTCTGTAGGTTCTTCGAGCAGAACTTGTGCCATAATTCCTTTGACTTTGTGTTTGGCTATACCTCTTGCTATATCCAGGTGGGTTTTATTTGAAATTGCTATGCCTTAATTAATTGTTATTGTTGTGATATGATCAATGTATACGTGTGAACAATGTAGCCTTTGATGTGAGCTATATTGGCCGTCGAACATTTATCCCCATAGCTATAGAACGTACCCAATGGATAGTCTCCTTTATTTATATATGGCAGTCAGGGCGTGAGCCTTGGCTGGTGATCCTCGATGTAAGTCCGCAGGCTAGGTTCCGGGCATTCGGGCTGGATTTACTCCTACTGACTGGGCATCGATTGTAAGACCTGAGGGGCATTCGATACGTGTATCAGCAGTGGTCTATTGATATAGTTGTGCACATGAGGGATGACTCTGGGATAAGAGATGGGATATTATTTGATTTGTGTTCACTGCGACCATACCTACTTTATTTTATGAATTTGAATATTAATTATTGCATAGCGGTGAGCACCTCGATTTTTCTATTGTGCTCATCCCCACCTGCTCTTCATGTATGCAGGTTAGTAATTGCGGGCACGACAGAGGGAGGCGAGTGGTGGTCATGTTACTGATTACTTTCGCTATTTAAACTGCTTAGTATTATTTATGCATTTATGATTTACGTTTGGTTTCGGATTATTGATAATGAGTGTACTCCCTAGTATTAATGAATTTGATAAACCCAGTTTTGGGAGTTGATGTTATTTATGAACCCGGTTTGGGTGTTGGCATGATTATTGAACCCGTTGGGAGTTGCATTTATGATATTGTTGAAATTGTTTTGGGAAATGAGTAGCGCCTCAAGTGTTTTGAAAATTTTATTCTGAATTTCGGCAAATAAAAGTGGGGCGTTACATCCTCTCTCTTCATCTTCACCGCTCGAATATGCTCTCTCCTCGCATTATTTGAGTCTCCATTCGTTGGCGCCCCAGAAATCATGTATATCGTGCCCCTCCTCATGAGGCCTAAATCTCCTTGTCCTCTGTTCTGACCATTTTTGTTACATTTTTTGTTACTGTTTTGTCATCCTTTTTCCCGGTTTTAGGTCTTTTAGTTGGTTTTTAGTTTGTTTTATAGTTTATTGTGTGTTTTGCTCTAATTTGGCTTTTTATGTGTTGTTCGTATATTTTGTCGATTTTCTATGTTTTTCTTCTTGTTTTAGTGTGCAGTTCAGAAGTCCGTGAGGAATCGATTTAGCTCGAAAACGGGCCGGGAAATCATTGTTGGTTAGATGGGTTCGCTGGTGACACATAGGAAAAACCGGAACTCGATTTTGAGTTCGGACGTGTCCGGACTGTGCCGATATGCGAAGTCATGCACGGAAGCCGCCAACTTCAAGTCAAAAGCTTTGGGTGAATAAGTTTTCAAGAAGAAGTTGGATTTGAAAGCACAACTGCATAGAGGTCTTTGTTGGCTACATGTAGGAAAAAACAGAACTCAATTCCGAGTTCGGACGAGCCCAAACGAGCCCAAAACGTAAAGCCGAGCAAGCTGAATCTGTGAAAAAGTGACGAATTTCGTGTGACGAATAAATAATCGTCACCATATGTGGCCTTTCGGTGACGACTTTTAAAATTTGTCATTATATCATTGACTACAGTGACGACTGTTCAATTCGTCATTTTAGAATGGTTTTTTCGTCACATAATCTAACTTTTTATGACGATTTCTCTCGTCACCTATAAATAAAAATTCGTCACATTTATACAAGTTATGACGAAATTCCATGTGACAAAAAAAAAGTCGTCACTGTTGTACGTATTTACAACGACGATTACGACTAAATCGTCACTATTTTATTATTTAATGTGACGATACATTATAATACATGAAAATTCGTCACATTTTATACAAAAAATGACGAACTTCCATGTGACAAAGAAGAGTCGTCACAGTTGTAGGTATTTAAAATGACGCTTTCGATTAATTCGTCACGATATTATTATTTAATGTGACGAAACATTGTAATACATAAAAAGTCGTCATATTTTATACGCAAAATGACTAAGTTCCGTGTGACAAAACAGTGTCGTCACTATTGTAGGTATTTAAAATGACGCTTTCGATTAATCCGTCACTATTTTATTATTTAATGTGACGAAACATTATAATACACAGACATTCGTCACATTCCATGTGACAAAACAGTGTCGTCACTGTTGTAGATATTTAAAATGACGCTTTCGACTAATACGTCACTATATTGTTGGTTAATGTGACGAAACATTATAATATATAAAACTTCGTCCCATTTCATACGAAACATGACGAAGTTCCATTTGACAAAACAATTTCGTCACTGTTGTAGGTATTTTAAATGACGCTTACGATTAATTCGTCACTAAATTATTATTTAATGTGACACAACAGTATAATACATAAATATTCGTCACATTTATATTAAAAATGATGAAATTCCATGTGACAAATAAGAGTGTCACTGTTTGTAGGTACTTAAAAGTACGCTTACGATTAAATAACATCCAAACTATAAATTGGAACACAACATCAGTTTCCTAAAATGAATCCCCAACTACATAAAACCATAAGAATTAAAAAATAATAATAAGTTCAACGACCATCACATTCCTAACATATGGTTTTGTATGGATTAGTATAGATTTCTTTCATCCATGTCAATGTGTTATCTATTAGATTTAATATTGAATGCTAATATTGAATTATATGGTACATGGAAATAAGTAATTTTAAACAATAGTTAATTATTTTTATAATTTTGATAACTATAAAAATTAGTTTAATATTTCTGACAATTCTAAAAAAAGAAATTATTATATTCGATTAAAAATATTTTTTTTTTCAAAAACTGGTTATAAAAAATATAATCTTTTACTAATAGATGATTATAAAAAAATTTGACCAATATATGAACAAATTATCACGAAGAAAATTTATTGATAGGGGTTGATTCAAATAAAAAGCAATAAACTTTATTCAACTCTAAACAAGCATGAAGGGCAGGTTTTTTGAAAGGAAATGAAGCAACTAAATGAGAATTTCAATCTGGGATTTTATAGAGAAGTGCTTTGAAAAATGGGACAATTCCCAAAATGTGTGGATTTACCATATGTTTTCATAAGAAACACATATATTCTCTATTACACATTAAGCACTTGAAGTTACTTCCAAATGGATAAAACTCAAGTCCACCCAAACGATTAAAAAAAAAACGGTTGTCGACACACTATACATACATATAAAACCTTAATGTACGTCGAAAATTTGCATAACGAATAAGGCAGAGATGCCACAAACTGCACAAAAAAAATAAAAAACTGTGCTTTTCTAGGCAGGATCAATTTTTCTCCAAGGTTACACCAACTACAACATCGGTCACCTAAATAGTTCGAAATATTTTCAGAATACATGTTGAGATGGAAAAAAGAAAAAGAAAGAAAAGCTAAGGTTTTTTAGCACAAAATGATGTAATGTAAACAAGAAATCTACCAATTTCCCACTCTTGTCAACGGACATTGGGTTTTCTACAACAACGGTTTGGCTCTGGGAATTAGGCAGTGTCTAACATTAGACAAAAAAAATTGAAAATAAGGATTAAGTAAAAATATTGATCAAGTCATATTAGTTTTTGAAACTCACAGCTGAACTTGAAGGTGTAGATGCTAATGAGCCTGGTACGGTCGGCTGATTCACAGGAATCGGGACCCCGAACATTTCCTATGTGCACATAAGAAGACATATAGATATAACAAAAAAAGAAACAGAAACAAATGGCTGGCCCAAAATTTTAATTTGGTTTCGAAGCTTCAGATTGATGAAATAAAGACAAATCTAAACCCAGACAACCCAAGATAAAATGGATTTGAAGTCCATCTGAATGACTCAGTTGAATAACTTCCAAATGTGAGTTCAAGTAATTTGCAACATGTTGCAAATATCTCTTATTAAGAATTGAAATCCTTAACTTTATATACAATACTCATGACTCAACACTTCCAATGCAAAGTTTATCAACCAATGCAGAAAAACGACAACCCACTAAAACCGTGCAACATAATACCAAATCCCATGTTCAAATAATACACTGCATAACCAACAGTATCATAGCACAGAACAACATGCAATTTCTTAAGCCCAGTCGCAAAATCAATTATTTCTCAAAGTCAAACCATAAGAATTAAAAAAATAAAAAAATAAAAGTTCAACGACCATCACATTCCTAACAGACCAAACCAGACCATATAGGTTGATGGCCTAAATGTGGTAGATTAAAATGAAATCCCAGCAACAACCAAGAAAACACATTTCAAAATCAACTAAAATTTTTCTTCAAGTCCCTTCCATTGAACTCATGGGCCTCTTCCTATGCCTCTTCCTCTGTTCAAACATAAAACATACATTTCAAAACATATTCAAAGAAAACGACTATTCTTATACTAACATCGGCATGTACATGAAGAAAACGGCTATTCTCATTTTTGCACTATCAGATCATACTCATATTTATTTCCAATTAAAATTTTGAAAAAAAAAAAAAGTAAAAAAAATAAAAAATTAAAATAACCAGTCGATATCATCAAGCTCATCGTTCTCATTGACGTCCTCTATGTTTGTAGCCTCATTCTAGGGTAACGTTTCAATGATCAACTCCATCAGATCCTTCTGATCCACGGCGTATCTATTTAATGATGCAACTTCATCAAGAGAAACTCGACAATCACCCCCGATGTCATTCTCTTGATATGCAACATCTGCTACTAATGTGTCACCAGTCACATGTTCTTCATCCATCTCATCCACATCATATACATGACGATGCTGAAAAGGCTGCACAACTCGCCAATCTTTTCCGAGTTTAGGATCATTGAGATAGAAAACTTGTTTGGCTTGATCAACAAATATGTATGGATCATCTTGATACCATCTCCCCGCAACATTAACACTATTAATGTTTCTTTCCTTTTGTAGCCCAGTCATTTTCCGTCCAAGATCAAACCAATCACATTTAAATATAACCACTTTCCGGTTTCTCATATATTCCAACTGAATAATTTCAGATACAGTACCGTAAAAATCAATGGTATCATCACCGTGATTCCCTTCTACCATAACACCGCTGTTTTGAGTTTGCCGACGACCATCACGTTCTATCGTCAGATATTTCACTCCATTAACAATGCAACCAGTATATTTTCTTACACATCTATTAGGCGAACAAGCAAGAGAATACAACGATTCATGGACTTGTGAGGGCTCTTTCTGATACAATTCAACCATCTGTATGATCATATTTTCAACAAATATATCAATGTATTTTTTTTAAAGTATAATAAAAATCATACAAATATAACTCACATGATTCTTAAACCATCCAGGAAAATGATATTTATGCTCCTTCTTTGTATCTCGACAACCAGCTAAAACAAGCTCTTCCTTGTGTTTTCTATGTACAGATAAAAAATAAGAGGTTAAACTTACATATAATAACTCAAATTATAAGAACATTATAATTATGTACTTACCTGATATATGGCTCAACCTCCTCGCAATTTTGAAAAACAAACCACTGAATGGCATCAAATTCTTCATCTGATAGCTCCACAAAGTTTGATGCACGAAAAGGGCGACATTTTTGTGCAAACATTGACAAACTATCACTGATAGAAATATCAACATTCCGCTCATCTCGATTAAATCTTGTTTCAATACCTCTTAAGTACATAGAGCAAAAGGTCAAAGACTCTTTCACAATGTATGCTTCTGCAATTGATCCTTCTGGATGTGCTTTATTATGCACCGTCTGCTTAAAATCACCCAAAGATCTACAAAACGAAACATAGTCATATTTATCTGTATCAAATACCAAGTTATTGGAAAAACATTGATACACTCTTTTTTTTTACAAAGAACGATAAACTTTATTCAACTCTAAACAAATTTCACAAGCACAACTACTCAACTGAACAGACACAACAATCAACAAAGAAAGCCGTGGGAGCCCAAGACTCACCCTCAAGAGAACCGATACTCAAACCAGCAAACAAAGTACCCAAACAAGAAGATAAATCATAACAGAACTGAGGACAAAGTGAAATAACAAGCATCAAACTGATCAGCTAGCCACCAGATTTTTTCCCATAATGTCTCATCACAGCTACCTCAAGAACATAAATTATATACTCTTTATTAATTAAAATTGATATATTTTATTATTAACTTTCTATTGGGAACATCCATCTAAATTGAACAGGACCACCAAGTAAGGCTTCATTTGGTAAATGGATAGGCAAATGGAGCATCACATCGAAGAATGCAGGAGGAAATATTTTTTCAAGTTTGCATAATGTCAAACAAATTTCCTCGTTCATCTTGTTCAATTCAGATTTCTTCAACTTCTTGCAACACAGTCGCTGGAAAAAATGTCCAAGCTCTGACAACACAACGCATATTTCTTTATTTAAAGATCCACGAACACCAATCGGAAGTATCCTTTGAAGGAGTACATGACAATCGTGGATTTTCATCCCAGATATTTTTTGATCAGTTGAACTAACACAACGAGAGATGTTCGAGGCGTAACCATCAGGGAATTTAACAGACTTTAAGAAGTCGCAGAACTCACGCCGCTCTGACTTCTTCATCACGTAGCAAGCCGGCGGCATAAAGTATTTCCCATCTCCTCTTTTAATCAAATGCAACTCTTTTCGTATATTCATGTCCTCTAAATCTTGCCTTGCCTTGATTGTATCCTTTGATTTCCCCTCTATACTCATCAGCGTTCCCAGGATACTATCACAAATATTTTTTTTCAATATGCATTACATCTAAATTATGCCTTAATTTCAGCTTACTCCAATAAGGCAATTTAAAAAATATGCTACGTTTTGTCCAGTTCAGCTCTTCAGGCTTTCTTTTTCGCTTCTTATTAATATGTTTTCCTGGCCTTATATCATCCACCTTTTGCAGTTGCTTTAACACATCATCACTTGTTATTAACTTTGGTGGATCCGCAAGTTCTCTTTTCCCATTGAATTGTCTGCTTCTTCTCCAAGCATGATCTTTTGGAAGATAACGACGATGTCCCATATAGCATAGCTTATTCCGCAGTCTACTCGCATCTGTGTTTTCATTACAAACGGGACAAGCCAAGTAACCTTTTGTACTCCATCCTGATAAATCGCCATATGCCGGAAAATCATTTATTGTCCACAACACAGCAATATGCAGTTGGAAATTTTGTTTAGAACAGACACCAAATGTTTGTACCCCATGCAACCACAAGTCATTTAGCTCTTCTATTAAAGGCTGCAAGTAAGTATCAATGTCTTTTCCAGGTGAGTTATTTCCAGGAATCAGCAAAGACAACATTAAAAAAGGATCTTTCATGCAATCCCATGGGGGAAAATTTAAAGGGGCAAGAATGACGGGCCACATGCTATAAGTGGTGCTCAAATTGCCAAAGGGATTAAAACCGTCTGATGCTAATGCTAGGCGAACATTTCTGGGATCTTTGGCAAAATCAGGATATTGACTATCGAAGTCTTTCCATGCTAAGGAATCGGCCGGATGTCTCATGTAATCATCATCAATACGCTTTTCTTTATGCCATAACATCTTTTTAAACGTCTTTTGGGACATGAATAAACGTTGGAGTCTTGGTTTAAGTGGAAAGTACCTTAGAATCTTATGAGGTATTTTCTTACCTTTTCCATCATTAATTTTCCACCGAGAAGTCCCACAAACTGGACAAGACTCTAGATTTTTATTCCCTTTCCAGAATAAAGCACAATCATACTTACATGCATGGATACATTCATAACCTAAACCCAAATCCCGCAAAAACTTTTTTGCTTCATAACATGAACTTGGAAGTTTCTCCCCATCAGGAAGTGATGATTTAAAGAGTCTCAATATCATATCCACAGCTTTATTACTCAACTTGTTATAAACTTTTAAATGAAGCAGCTGTATAATGAAATAAGTTCTTGACATCTTCTTACATCCTGGGTATAGTTCGGTTTTGGCATTCATCAAGAGTGCCTCAAGATATTCTGGTAGTCCTCCAGTATCAATCCCAACTCCATCCGACATTTCATCAGCTTTCTCCCCCCGGTACTCTTCGGAAAGGTCTGCAATCAATTCTTCCACACCATCACCGTCTGAATTTGGTTCGATCCTGTCATCCTCATCAAAATCTTGATTCCCATTATCATTAGAACTTGATGGTTCGCCATGGTGAAACCACTTAACATATCTTGGATCAATTCCTTTTTCCAGGAGATGAAATTTCACTGTCTTTTGATCTTGCATTGCTACATTCAAACACTGCATGCACGGGCACCTAACATTACAATCTCGACCCATGTGAGTTGAAACAAATTCCATAAATTTGTTTACGCCATCTATGTAAGTCTTAGACCACTTGATTTCTCTCATCCAAGTCTTATCCATTTCTATAGAAAAACAAAGCAGTGTGTCTTAGACCACACATAAGAACAACAAAGGCAGAAAAAAAAAAAAATCAAAGAACCAGTCATATTCTTCAGAAAAAAAAAACAGCCCCACTTCTATAGAAAAACAAAGGCAGCATATTCTTCAGAAACTACAACAAGAACCAGTCAATGTGTCTTGTGGGCAAAGCAGTGTGTTCATAATCTCAGAACAAATCACACAGAAAAAAAACAGCCCCATTTCTATAGTAAAAATGCCCCTATCAC